GTGCACCGCGCTGTGCGGTCGCGGTCTGAGGTCGCCGCGCCGCCTCGGGTCCCGTCTGCGGCGTCGCGGAGCCCGCCGCGGCGACGGCTTGCTGGACGCCCGCTCTGGGTCCCCTTGGGCAGCCGCCTTCCGCTGACTCCGTCATTCTCGATTTCCTCCTTGGCTTGGCGCAGTTCTAGTGTTTAAAAATTCAGGTCCCTGCCCCTGGAGTTCGGGCCGATTTCTTTGGCCCTTTTCTGTTCCACTGTGAACCGACTCCAGCCTTCCCCGCGCCCCACTCGTCTTTTTGTGGGCTTGGGCAGAGCTGGCAACTTGCTGCCTTTTGAAAGTTGTGAAAGAAGGCAGCCCGGATGCCGTAGGGTTTGTAAGTGGAAGAGCGGTGGCCAAGCGACTTCTGTGGGCTTTGACGCGCTTTCTTGGGAACGGTTTAAAGAAGTTGTCAGGGCTCTAGGGCAGACCTCAGTCCATCTCCTCGCCCTGCGTGCTGTTTTCGGTTTTGCGTGGGTGACTTAGGCTCTCCAGCCACACTGTATCGCAACAGTGCTTACCTCTGAAGGTGGTGTGAGATGCGGTGCGTTTAAAGCGCATACCACTGTGTCTGGCACATAGCGTTCATGTTCCCTTTTATTGCAAACATTTGTCGTGGTCGCAAAATAGCTACGTGTTGTAATGGGGAAGGGCTGTACAGTTTTGACAGCCTTCAGCTGGGCGCTCCAGAAAAGGCTTGGTTACGATCAAAATGCACAGCTTTAGTAATAGTAAGATAACGTGTAGAAATAATATCTTTGAGGGGCCCTTTAAAATGTCCTACTTATTCCCAATGTTAGCAGGAAAAATACCTTCCAGGAACATGACCTCACTGGGCAGGACACTAATTGGCCGGCCCTGTGCATGTTGCAATTATGACACAAGAAGAAAGCAGAGCTTCTGAGCTAGGTAGGATTCTAATCCCCTGACATTCCATACATTCTGAGGTAACCCTGATTACATGAGAAAGAGACGCTACGTTTTCCATTATTTGAGCTGTCTCACTTCATTCTCTCAAGAAGACCGGCATTACAAAGCTGAAGTGTCTTCAGGTGGCAGGCACTGTCTTGCAGACCTTATGAGGAGCGTTGAAACCCAGAAAAAACTGACTTTAGTGGTAGGGTACTAATACCTCTAGCGGTGTTTCTTTCGGTTTTTAATCTCTAGTATAACATGAGTTTGCCTGGAAGGTTTTGTTTTATATTTTAAGGTTGAAATAGTTTTTGCTTAGGTATAAAGAAATGAATCCTGAAGTAACTAAACAATGCAGTTAGATATTTATTTATTTATTTATTTATTTATTTTTATTTATTTTTGTGGTACCAGGGATCGAACTCACGACCTTGCACTTGCCAGGCAGGCACATATGCCACTGAGCTATATCCCCAGCCCCCTAGATATTTAATGTAACAGCCTGAAACTGAAAAATACAATCAGTCCATTCTTTTTACCTTCTTTCATTATGAAATTTAATGCACCGGTTAAGGACATGAGGTTTGGGGTCCTTCAGTCTAGGATTGAAGTCTTAGCTTTTACTGGTTTCACGGACTTGAGTACATTACCTAACTCCTGATTGCCTCATGGGGTTCTTGAGAAAATTAAACGCATCTATAACTTTAAGGCTGTGCTTAGCTTAGGGAGAAGCATTCAGTGTAGTTCGCTATGTAACTCAACATATGTTGTTATTGGCAGTGTAACCAAAAAGCAAAAATAAAATCTGCACAGTTGTAAAATAGACAGACCCCTTCTCTGGCAAAGTAACCAAGGAATTGTCAACATTTCACAGAACATAAAAGTTCTCCTTTGTATTATAAACAGACCTTATTGGAGGTTCCTACGTTTTGCCAATAGATTATGATTTTAATGTAGTTGAATGTGTTTATGTATGACATTTTTTCTGGTAAGATAAAAAACTTGACTTTCTCCAACTAACTCTGGTTGCATGTCTGATAATTGATCTCATGCTGATATACAATGTCCTTTCAGAAAGCGGAAAAGGTTCAAAGACTTAACTGTTCAAACAGAAATCCTTTTTTTTTTTTTTTTTTTTAGGTGTTGCTCTTATTTTATCTACAGTAAGCTTTCCATGTGATAGCTATTCAAAGATGAGTTGTAAAATTCCAATATTCCAGAGTAATGACAGGACACAGTTATTATTCTTAAGAAAAGTCATATTCTTTCATGTCCCTGGCAGAGTCCATAGCAACCTAAATGTGTGTAAATATATGGTATAAAACTTGCTTTTACTGCTTCAGAGTTTGACTTGTTATTCCTAACGCTTGCTACCTTAAGTCATTCTTGTGCCAGTGTAAACAGCATTAATGATTTCATTACTGAGCAACAGGACACATGACCTTGGGTTCTGCCAGTTTGTTCATGTTGGTTTCCTTTGGGTTTTTTGATAATACAGAAACAGAAAGATTTTTTTTTATAATTTTAAAGTTATATTAATTTTATATCAGATAGTTTCCCTTGCAGGTGTTTTTCTTATCTAGTCCTCATCTTTAACATTTTTAAATATATTAGTGAATTTTATCTTTAAAAAAGTTTAAGCCAAAGGACATCTTTTTTTTATATTACATACTCAGAGTTTGATTACGCTATGGGGGGAAATTATAAATATGAGTTCCCTGAGGGTGTTATAGTTGTACAAGTGCTTTCATACGTGTTGTTCTGTTGATTCTCACCATTTGTTGTTTGGAAAACAACTATTTGGAAAACGCTATTTTTCACATTAGAAAACAAGTCAAATTGAGTCTGAGCTGAGACTCTTGACAATCATTGAGCTCAGACTCTTGACGTATCATTCCTGTTAGAAGGATGTTTTACAAAGTATAATCTGTAGTCTGTTTTGTGCCTCATGCTGTTTTGCATAGTTCTTAGGAGAGGGTATGTTAATTAGCTCCAAATTCTACCAACCTTCCCTGTCATATTATCCCCTCCCCACTTGATCTGCCTCGTCTCATTCTCTTCAGCAGTTAGGGGTAATGGGACAAGAAAGACTTTAAGATGGAAGGCACTTTAGGGTAGATGTGTTTTGGGAACTGTGTGCTGTTACCCTGGATTGATATCTGTAGGTAAAGGCTTCAGGTTGAAACCTTACAATTATTTAGGCATGTGCTATAAATTATAATTTCTTTAGAAACGAAGAAACTTGTTAAATAATATTATCCGTGTAGAATTTGTCTTGTTTTTGGACAGATGTTATTTAAGATTTCTGGTCAGTTACTCATTGGTTTGCAGAAACATATTTACAGAGTTTGAAAGTAATCTGATCCTTTTGGGCAGGTGAAAGAAAACTGTGGTTGGTCAACAGCAATTATTTAGGAAATATATCTTGATTTAAAGATTTAATGAATTTCAAGCTGGGGGTGGTGGTGCATGCCTGTATACCCATCATTTGGGAGGCTGAGGGAGGCCTGTCTGTCTCCAAAAAACCCCCTATAAATAAAAAATAGTTTAAAATCTGATTATTGGATCAAATGCACTAGAAAACTAATTAGCTGTAGTTATTGATTTGCCTCTTTAGATCAATAAAGGTGAATTACGGCATGTTTATTAAGAGATTTTACACTTCATGTAGCTTCATTAGATAAGGGATGAAGGGTGTATAGCACAGTGGTAGAGCACTTGCCCTGTATGTGGGAGGCCCTGGGTGTGCTCCTCAGCACTGAGGGGAAAAAAAAAAAGATCACGTCCAGAACTCTTCTGTTCTGTGTGTTCAGTTTGTGTGTGTGTGTGTGTGTGTGTGTGTGTGTGTGTGTGTGGTGTTTCAGGGTTTTTTTTGTTTTTGTTTTTTTGTATAAATTGTTATCATTAGTTATATCATAGATCTGAAAGTGCTCCAAACAATAAAATAGCTACTGATTACTGATGACTTGCTAAATGCTATACACTTTCTATAAATAATTGTGTTTAGTTTTTACTATCATTATTGCCATCATTTTACAAATGAATCCAAGGCCCAGAAAGATCAATTAAATTGCCCACAATCACACAGTTACTAGCCAAAATTTAAAATCAATTTTGGCATTGATCTTTTTATAAAATTTAATTGATAAGGTAAAAAAGTTACAGTAAGTTATGGTTAGTTTATTATTGGAGAAGTAAATTCTTTTACAAGTTTAGTGTGGCCTAAGTGTTCAGTATGTATGAAGTCTAGAGTCGTGTGCAGTGATGTCCAGACCTTTGCATTCACTTGCCTCTCAAAGTCTCCCAAGCAGCTTCCAGTCCTGCACTCTCTATATACCATAAATGTCCTAGATAGTTGTATACCCTTTTTTAAAAAGGTATTTGTCTGTACCTTTTCGTACCATTGCTCTGCAGTTGCCTACAATATTTAGTATCGTAACATGGTGTCTAGGTTGTAACCTAGATGCACTAGGCTCTACCATACAACCTAATTGTGTAATATGCTCTGCCATTTAGGCTTATGTAAATACACTCTCTTAAGATGTGCATACAGCGATGAAATTGCCTCAGGGTGCATTTCTCTGAACATGTCCCCATCACTGAGACACTACTTTAGACTTCAGAAGGTATTCCCAAATGTAATGGTCCATCTCTGGCCTCTGTATAGGCAAAGTGACACTTTCTGGAAGATCTTATGGAGGAAATAATGTGGGAGTAGAGCCTTAAAGAATTGAAGGGAGCTTGGTAGTGTTGATGTAAGACACTTGCCATTGATAGCGCAACAAATGAGGCACAGTGGCAGGAAAATTCAGTGACGAGAGGACGGCAAGTAGTTCAATATATTAAACATCATAAGGTTAAATTTTAAAAAATTATTTAACAGAACAATAACTATATCTGTACTGGGTGTGCCATCTGACATATTTGCATACCTGCCATTTACAGGTGCTGTGCTATGGAGCTCTGTTCTGAATCCTAGCACATGATCTTCCCCTAAAGCTCTGTTACTGTTGTTATAATCTCTATTAGTTGATGATGTACATTTACACAGTACCTATATTAAAAATCTTGAAGTCATTCTGAATTTCCATCTTTCCTTTCTCCACTCATTTCCACCTACAACACAGCCTGTCAGGGAGTGCTAATATATATTGATCATGAATGTCTTTTAAATGTGCTGCTCCTTTAGGCTTGGTAGATTTCCCCCTATGGTTTTTGCAGGGTAAAATATTTCTGTGGACAAAAGAACTTTGATCTGAATATGAGTGCTGTTATGTAGGTTATTACCAAATTGAACAGCTGTAGGGCTATGCCTCAGGATTTGTCACTCGGCATTTTATTACTAGTGGTAACAAAAACAGAGGGACTGAAAGTCATATTTGTGGTTAACAGTTGCTGGGAAAGAAGAATTAGTACTCAAAATAAGCTATTATGGTGAACCATAATTTCAAAATTAGAACTTACTAGAACAAGTTAAAGTCTTGCATTTAATTTTTTAGAAAGGATTTTTAAAATACAGTTCAGAGATACTGTCTGAAAAAAATTCAACGGGGAAACAGTCTAGATAATTGACATGTTTTTATGAACTAAATTTGACGTATGAAAAACCTGTCAATTTTTTAGCAAGCAATGTTAGATTATATTGTGCTAGGAGCCACAAAATAATAATCCTGTAATGCTTTGATCATATTATACTGCAGTAGTTTCTTTAGATTTTAGTTGGCATATTTTCTAATAAGCCATAATAGTGAGGGGGTCAAAATATCCTATGGACATGAGAAATGATGGCAAATTTGGAAGAGAAGAGGAATTGGCAGTTGGTAGATTGTATACTCTGTATGTGATAGCTGATAGATGGTTAAGTGGAAGCAAGAATGGGGTTTGTTCTGTGTTACTTCATGGAGAACTCAGACTCCATCTAGCCCTTCAGCGGAAGTCAGGGTTTGGCTTATGATGAAAGCTTCATTAAATAATATATGTCTAGAAGTGGACTAGATCACTGTACCTGATAGTTGGAAAGACAACGTTGGCACTTGGCATTAGGCTAAGTTGCTGTCCAACCTAAAGATTTAATGGATATATACATATGAAACTCATTTAATCTGTGGCAAGTACCATGCTAAATAATTGACATATATTATGTATGTATTATTTTCATAGATTCAAGCAGCTATGGATCAAAAATTATCAGGAGAAAATGTATCTGTATTGAACATGTACAGACTCTTGTCATTATTTCCAAAATAATACACTGTTACAGCTATTTACTCATACATAACATGTACATTGTACTAGGTATTGCAGGTAATCTGGAGATGATTTCAAGTACACAAAAGGATATGTGTAGATTATATGTAACTACTGTACCATTCAATATGAGAGACTTGAGTACCTTTAGATTTTGGTTTCTGGGAGTCCTGGAAACATCCTCCATTGAAATTCAAGGGATGCATGCATTTTAATTTTCACAACTCTGATGTCCATGTTATTCCTGTTCCCTTGTACAGATAAGAAAAAAAGAAGTTAAAGAGGTTAAATAAATTATCTAAGGTTATGTGTCACATCTCACTTGTGGGGTTCAGGCCCAGGTGTAATTCCAGAGGTCATACCTTTAATCAGTATTATATTAGTTCCTCAATTTGACTTGCCTATTACATTAGTGGCAATCTGTAATGTATCAAGATAATCCTTGTTGTATCTGTATCCATACGAAAGTGACACATTCCCAGCTGATGTTGTCATTAGATGGACAGCTGAATGAGATCCTTACTTCTGTCTCCCATCGAAGTACTAACCAGGCCTGACACTGCTTAGCTTCTGAGATCAGACGAAGAGATCCTTACTTCTGTCATATGGAAAAGTGATAGTTTTCTTAAAGTCAATGGGTGACCATGGAGTTCATCGTATTAGGGAATCCAGTGACCAGTTTCTGTTTTAAAAATATTACATGTTTTTTTAAAGATTTACATTTTTTATATAGGTGTGCAAAATCAAATTATTTTAATGAAACTGCAGAAAATACCAGCTTTAATATTTGGCTATGATCGTAGTCCATTGTGTGCTGCTGTAACAGAGTGCTACAGACTAGTTAGAAATGAGCAGCCTTTTTTAGCTCACAATTGTGGAGGCTGGAAAATCCAAGATTAAAGACCCATGCCTGACAAAGCCCATCTTGCTGCACTATCCCATACCTCAAGCTGGAGGAGGCAGTGTGCCACCTTCGTCCCTTTATCAGGAGCCCGCTCCCTCATGACCTGATCACCTCCTAATGGGCCATCTCAACTGTGTTGTTTCTAATACATGAATTTAGGAGGACTCATTCAAACCATAGTATTTGCTTTTTAGAAAACTGATTTTATAATTTTGCAAGTTACATTTTATTTATAAATCTTTAAATCAGTACATGTGTTACTTTTGTGATTAGTGGGCTAACTCTAAATATTCATTGATGTATTTAGAAATTTTTATTAAAACTTAACCATGTCTAGAAAGTTGCTATTTTTCACAGTGAATGTTTTTGTTTAATTCTAGGGGAAAATTTGCAGTGGTGAGGAAATGTATAAAGAAAGATTCTGGAAAAGAATTTGCAGCAAAGTTCATGAGAAAAAGAAGAAAAGGCCAAGATTGTCGAATGGAAATAATTCATGAGATTGCTGTACTTGAACTAGCACAAGACAATCCTTGGGTCATTAATTTACATGAAGTGTATGAGACTCCATCAGAAATGATCTTGGTTCTGGAATAGTAAGTATTGTCTTTCTCGGGTTGAATGTGGTAGTTTATATTTCCATATAGGATGTTGCTTTTCTGTGACAATGTGCATTGCCTGGTTCTCTGGAAAGGATTTTCCAGATCATCTTCTTGTATTCCTCATAAATACCTTTACTGCACTTAACTGTTTCGCCTTCTTCCCAGCTTGTATTAAATACCTGGCCTATTCTCCCCTTCATGGAGAAAATTAGGTCATCAGACACAGACTCCCTTGGCATCTTTCCAAAGCCTTCTAAGCAAGGAAATTATATCAGCACATGTGTGCTGTCATATATAATGTCAGATACATTTACCCAGGATGGTAATCTTTTGTCTACTGCTTTACACCCTTCCCATCTGTTTGAGGGAGATTGAACTATGAACTTCCAATGCTGGGCTGGGGATATAGCTCAGTGGCATAAGCACCTGCCTGGCAAGCACAAGGTCCTGAGTTCAATTCCCAGTACACTCCCTGCCCCCCAAAATTTAAAAATCTTAAAAAAAAAAAAAAAATTGAACTTCAAGGCTGCAACCCTTACCTGTGTTCTTTAATTTTTATCCTTCCTTTTCTGGGACCTATGTTTGTTTTTTAATCAGTTGTGAAACCTCTTTTAGTTTTTACCTAGGTCTTCTGTTATTTCACTCTGTGCTAAAATTCCTGGTTCTTAGCTTTGACTCTTCTTCAGCTGTCTTTGCTGCATTGCTCTTTTCTTTATTGCTGTACTTCTTGAAAGAATAGCCTGAATTAACAACTATTTCCTCACCTTCTAATCAGTTGTGTTCTACTTCATTGAGCCATTCATCTGTTCATGTGCCAATAACTCCATTCACTTTTCAGTATAATGCCATCTGCTCTTTTAAAACTTTCATGAGGCCACCAACCCTGCTTCCCAAAATCAATCTCATTTTAGTATTCTACTTCTTACTGTCTTTAAGCATGAGATATAATTCTTTCTTGAAATTACAACTTCCTTGGCTTTTACAGCCCTGTTTTTGTTGGTGTTTTTTTTTTTTTTTTCCTCCTTTCAGAGTGTTTTACCCTGTTCTGGATAATGTGAGTGTTCCCCAGAGCTCTATCAGTGTTACTATTGTGTTATACATTTTTGTTCAATAAACTTAACTTTGGATGATAATCTTTGTTGTGTGTACCTTCAGCTGTTATTTACATGATATTTCCAAATTTTTCCAACCTCAGCCCCTCTCCTAAGTTCCAGTTGCCTACTCTATATGCCTGTGTCCAGCTGCAGATCATTATTAATTCAGTATCGATACACTTGCATTGCCCTTCTAATGCTTGTTTCTCCTTTGTTACCATTTCCATTGGTATCCCCATTATATCATTGCCCATACTAGAAACCTTGATCCTGTCCTTGATTTCTTTATCTCCTTTAACGTTCTTTAATAATGAATTACCAAGTCTCCCATTTGAACTTTCTCAGTAACTGCTTAGCTGATCACCCTGGCTTCCACTCTAGGATGTCCCTCTCTGCTGCTGTTAGCTAACAGGCATAGATGTGCTGATATTATTCCCTTGCTTAGAAGCCTTTGATGGCTTCTGTTGCTTCAGTGATCCGATTTTTAGAATCCAGTCAGTATGATGTGGCCAAAATTTTTGTGGTCTAATTGTAATTGTTTTAATTGCGAAAAAGAAGTCTTGAAAGATATATTGTGAATACCAAGATATCTTGATTCTCAGCCAGATTAGTAAATTGTTGCTGTGGACACACGCACGTTATGATCACTGTATCAGTCATTGCTGAAGCACCTGCTATGTGCACTAGATACTAACAGGTGTTGATAATATAAAAGTAAGAATAAATAGCCCCTTCCCTCCAGGTGCTAAAACTCTTGCAAGGAGATTAAATATAAATGATTGCAGCAACATTGGCGTTTCACTACAAATTCTTGTTAGGTGCTGGTGAACACAGACCAAGTATTAGGGCTCTAATATGCTAAACATTAACTGTGTGCTGGGCACTATGCTAAGTTCACTTTGTACACATGGTTTATTAATTAGTATATGCTTTAATATGTATGATTTATACATTTTAAAACGAGTTTTGTTTGTTTATTGTACTAGGGATTGAATCTAGGGCTTCATGCATACCACACAAGTAAGTGCTCTACCACTAAGCTGCATCCTGTAAGATTTTTATGTATGAGAAAAAAACTCAGAGCAATGAACAATGTGAGATCACACCACAAGTAGCAGAGCCAACATTTAGTCATAAAGTGTATATCCCAAAGCGTCTGCTCTTTGCCATGTGTTGTGCTGCTCTTTTCTGCCTGGGTGGTTAGGGAGCACCTTCCAGAAAATGAGACACTTAGAGTTTGGAATTAGCCATCATTACCTTGTCAAGATTTTTCACATTGCTTTTGCCTTCATCTCATGTACTCAGCTAACTTTTTTTCTACTGTTTCCTACCAATCCTTTTCCAGCCCCATACACTGCATTCTAGGTACCCTTTTCCCTAGCATTGAAAGCTGTGATTATACTATCTTCTTCTCTACATTGTTTTGTTTTTTGTTTTTGTTTTTGTTTTTCTCCGGTACCGGGAATCGAACTCATGACCTTGTGCTTGTCAGGCAGGTGCTGTGCAGCTGAGCTAAATCCCCAGCCTCTTCTCTACATTGTTAATAACAAGCAGTCTGTGTATGACATTCTTGTCTTGTATCCCTGTGAACATGGCATTTTACAGATTTTTCTGTTAATCACTGGTTTTTAGTAATTTAAGCGTGGTATTCTTAGTGTTGTATCACTTGGGGTTCATTGAGCTACATGGGTCTTTGTGTTTATGGTTTTTATTGGATTTTGGAAATATGTGGTTATCTAAGGTTTTTCTGCCTCTCCTTCACTCTTCTTTTCAGTTACTATGTGTTAAGCTGCTTGATGTTGTCCCACATGTCCCTGGGGTACTGTTGATATTTGTTCAGTCTTTTTTCCCTGTCTCTGTACTTCACATTAAATGGTTTCTATTGTTTTGCCTTAAAATTTACTGATTCTTCAATATTTAATCGTTATGAAGACCAGTGAATTTTTTGTTTTAGTTACTGTATATTTTTAACCTCTAGAAGTTCCACTTGGTACTTTTCTTCCTCTTCTTCTTCTTCCTCCTGCTCCTCCTCCTCGTCTTTTTATATTTTTTTCTTTATTTTTGTCTGCGTAGGTCAGGCTGGCCTTGAACTCACTATATAGCCCAGGCTGTTCTCAAACTCATGGCGATCCTTCTGCCTCAGCCTCGCAGAGTGCTGGGATTACAGGTGTATTACAGGCATGTGCCCAGCCGTTTGGTAGTTTTCATACCTTCCTCTCTTCCTTGTTTGTTCCCTTCCTCTCACGAGTCCACAGTTAGTTCAGTTAGTGTGTAAAGCTTACATTTAAGCAGAGTAAACAGTGATATGACTGCACATTGTACTGAAAAGGGTTCAGTTTTACTGACCACATAAATAGCTTTCAAAGCTCCTAATAGTAGTATGCATTTGAAGTACATCCTTGAAATTTTGTCAGAAAACTGCATTTATGAATATATCTTGTGCACATGTGAATGACTTCAGTTCTTGAGAAAACAAAAATGAAACCCTTTGTTAAAACAGGTGTGGAGATGCACACAGTAATCCCAGCACTTGAGGTTGAAGGCAGGAGGATCTCCGTAAGGTGAAGGCCAGCCTAAACTCATAGCAAGACCCTGTCTCCAAAAACAAACAAACAAACAACTGTGGAGATGCACAACCTTTGGGAGGCTGATGCTGAGGCTGAGGCAGGAGGATTGCAAGGTTGAACCCAGTCTGGGCAACTTAGCAATTTAGCAAGACCCTGTCACAGAGGGAGAGGGGAGCAGCTGGGAATGTAGCTCAGTATGAAAGCCCTGGATTCTGTTTCATTCCCATACCCAAATAATACATAAATAAAAAGCCAGAGTGGGTAAACATCACAGTGGAATGACTAATAATACATTGCTTTTAAATTGTAGTTCAAGAAATCCTTGTATTTATGTAAATTGATCTATTAATGTTTTTTTTTTTTTTCATTTCCATGACCAGTGAGTTCATTGTTTTATGTAGTAAAGAAATGAATTAAGTTTTCTTAGAGTTTGAATTTTACATTTGGCCATTTTAGTTTTATCATTTTATATTATTATTTTTGTTTTTATTAGTGCATGTTTGCATTACGTAATGATTACAGTCATCATGGGGAGTTGGCACCTGTACATAACACATCTTCTTGTTACATCCCCTTCCTTCTTCTCTCCTCCCCTCCTAAATTTTATCGTTGATCATAGTAATGACTTAAGCAACTCAAATGACAGTAAATTGTGATTTAAAAACTTTTTCAGCTAAGTGCAGTTCCTTGTTTGAGTTGAGGAATTCAGTTTTGAGTGTCCCTGCATATGGTGGCCTGCGTGTGTAGAGGTGTGGACGGTGTACTGCAGCAGTGCATCTCCATCTCTCAGGGACTGAGCTGGCTCTGCCTGTACTATACTTTGCTTCAGATCATCAGATTGAAATTTATACCATGGCACTACCAGGCTGTGACTTGTTTACTCTTTATTTGTATGGTACATATTCACCGTTTCCTTTTGTATGATTTATATTTACTTTAATTTGTCTAGCGCTGCTGGGGGTGAAATCTTTGACCAGTGTGTTGCAGACCGAGAAGAAGCCTTTAAAGAAAAAGATGTTCAGAGGCTCATGAGACAGATTTTAGAAGGTGTCCACTTTTTACACACTCATGATGTAGTTCATCTTGATTTGAAGGTAAGATCTGAGTTACTTTTCAATTTGAAATTGCTAAAAAAAAAAAAAAAAAAATTGATATTCCACCATTTAAAAATGTTTAGCAGCTATTTATCCAAATGTATATTAAGTTTATGAGTTTATTAGATAACAAGGGTATTAGAATTGAGTCTTTTAAATTTTATCAGTACATGTTTGCAGTTCATCCATTGTACAGTCATCTTGGGGGTTACATGTATATACCACAGCTTGTTTCTTTGTTTTTAATTCACTTTCCCTTCCCTCTTAATCCCTCCCTTCCTCCCTCCTCCAGTTCCCCTGTCCCATTTTTTATTCTTGTTGATATTATTAATCTTAGCTCATGCTATGGCACATAATGTTTACATTAATTGAAGTTATTAGGCTCTTGCATGTAGCAAATCTCTATTCTACTTATTTCCCCTGACCCCCTTCCTCACTTCTTGTACTTTTTCCCTTAAAGCACTTTCCTGTGGCGGGAAAGATACCATACAGTATCTCAATGAGAGATATCATACAGTATTTAAGCTTGTATATCTGGTTTATTTCACTCACCATTATATTTTCCAGGTGCATCCATTTTCCTATAAATGTCTCAAATGCATCATTCTTTATAGCAGAGTAGTATTCCATTATATGTAGATACCACATTTTCTTGATCCAGTCATTTGTTGATGGGTATAGGCTGTTTCCAGGATTTAGGTATTACAAGTTGTGCTGCTATAAACATTGGTATGCATGTATTGCTGTAGTAGGATGACTTAAGCTCTTTGGGGAAGATACCTAGCAGTGGGATCACTGGGTTGTAGGGAATTTCTAATTTCAGTTCTTTGAGAAATCTCATACTGATATTCATAATGATTGTACTAGTTTACATTCCCACCAACAATGAAGGAGTGTTCTTGTTTTACCAGTTTCACCAGCATTTTGTTATTGCTTGATTTCTTAATGATTGCCATTCTTTCTGGAGTAAGATGGAATCTTAGCGTTGCTTTAATTTGCATTTCTCTAATAGCCAGAGATGCTGAGCATTTTTTCATATATTTGTTGACAATTTGTATTTCTTCCTTGCTGAAGTGTCTGTTCATTTGTCTTACCCATTTATTTCCTGGATCTTTAATTTTAGGTGGTTTGTTTTGAGTTCTATATGTATTCTAGATATTAGCCCTCTGTCTGAGGAGTAGTTAGAAAACATTTTGTCCCATTCTATATGTTGCATCTTTAGTTTGCTCACTGATTCTTGCACTATGCACAAGCTCTTTAGTCTGATATAATCCCATTTGTTGATTCTTGCTATTGCTTCTTGTGCAGTTGAGGTTCTGTATGGAAAATCCTTTCCTGTACCTATGTCTTCAAGTGTTTTGCCTAATTTATCTTCCAGTGGGTTTAATATTTTCATGTTAATGTTTAATACAGATTGGTTTTGATCCATTTTGATTTTAATTTAGTAAATGATGTGAGATAAGAGTCCAGTTTCAATCTTTTGCACACAGATAACCAGTTTTCCCAGCACCACTTGTTGAATAGGCTTTTCATAAACCAGTTTTTTGAAGATCAAATAGTTAAGTGTGTCTGAGAAAGTTTATGTATCCTCAGTTCTGTTCCCTTGATTCACATACCTGTTTTTGTTCCAGTACCATGCTGTTTTTATCACTATTGCTTTGTAGTATAACTTGAAGTCAGGTATTGCTATGCTTCTTGCTTTGCTCTTATTGCCCAAGATTGCTTTTGCTCTTCTGATTTTCTTCGAGAATTGAGTCTTGACTCATATCCTCCAATGAGTTGGTTTTATCAGGGAGATAATGTACATGTGAGTATGTAGAAGATAAATGATAAAACAAATCCTCCCAAAATAGAACTCAGAATATTCCTGGAATAGGTGAAGTCTTCCTGATGAAAATAGTACTTGAGGTAGCCATTAATAAAGAGTTAGGATTTAGAAAGTAGAGAAGAATGAGCAAATTATCTCATGAGAGTTAGAAATACTTGTCCTTTGTTTGGGGAAAAATAACTAGTTTTTCTGGAATTAAGAGATTATCTTGAGAAAGTGACAGATTTCAGGAGTTTTAAATGCCATAAGGAGACAGATGGTTTTTGTGGAGGACTATTTGAAAAGGAGTGTTCTGAAAAATTAGGCAGGCAGGAATAAGTAAATGAGAAAGAGATGAAAGACAGTTTCTCATTTAAGTGTCAAAAGTGCTAGAGGAGGGGGGAAGGAGAGAAAAAGGACAGTGTATCACTTCTGATCTTTTCAAGTAATCAGAATACCAGCTAAAACTAGCATAAACAAAAATAAACATCTTATTGACAGAAAAGTACAGGGATAATTGAAGCTTCAGTTACTCCAATATTCAAGGCTCTAAGACCGTTGCCAGTCCTCATGCTCAGCTCTGCATTCTCAGAATCGCAGAAAGTAGGCTGAGGTGAATGCTGCTGTTTTACCTCAGAACTGCGTGCACTCAGCAGGAGGGAGCTGGTCTTTGTTCACAGCTCCTTTCAGAAGGCCTGAGATTCATGCTAATTAGAGCAGTTTGGATCAATGTGGAACTAAGTGTCCTGGGGGATGTGGGGTTTCCATTGGCCAGGCCCACGTCATTCTCCAGCCAGTTCTGTTTCTGAAGGACAGAAAATGGATACTTAGGAAGCAAACAGTAAATACTCACTATGGGTGAATATTCATGTATTAGTGTATTCCCTGAGGGGACTATGGTAGAAAAGCTTGAGATCCCTGTAGCTTTCTTGATAGTTACTTGTGTATCAAAGTCCACATATAGCTGTGGGAAGATGAAAAAGTCAAATAGAACGTACCACAGTGACTGTAGTTCCTGTTTTATTCCGCTTACAAGCATAACCTTATCAGCCATGGGATTAAGGAGACAGCCTCAGAACATTGAGGCCACTGGACCCCCAACTAGGTTTTCTATCCTGATCTATATCCTCATCTCTCTGCACATCGTCTGCTGCACCTTGGCCTCTGCTCTGGGGGGTCCTCTAGAAGTAAGTAGATGTTTATGGCAGTGATTCTCCAGCTCTGCCACACATCAGAATCACCTGGAAGAGCTTCTAAAAATAAATTACTAAATAAATAAAAAAGTAAATAAATAAATAAATAACTGGGCCCCAGCACTAGAGGTTCTTATGCAGGTAGGGCCAGGTGATGTTGCTGCTTCCCATCTGGGGGCTACTTGGAGAACTACTGCTGTAGCACACATTCTACCTCATCCTGTGTAAATAACAGTGCGCAAAGGAACACTGTCAAGGAAGTACAGTATGTACAGTCTGGAGTTTGACTTCCAGAGTAGCCTTGGTCATGTCCCATTTGAAGTCAGGTGGGAGGATAATAGATATCCCTTTACATACTAGTTCTCTACAGAAGACGGGAAGGACAACAGTCTGAAAGCTCTGTTATGCTATTCCGAAAGATGCTCATTTAGATTGTTTTTGTAGTACAATGGCTGTCGTGGACAGTCACAACACAGTAGCCACATGATATTCACAGTGGCACTTTTTGAAGGCTAGTGTGGATATTTGTGCATCCACATGTAGTTCTAGGATATTAAAGCTAAAGGTCACAAGCTTAAAATCTTTCATAAAATGGGCAGTTGGAGGACAGGATTGGTCTTTGCTTTGCCCCTTCAGTTTCTCATATGCTTAAAAAGTTGAAGGATCTTCATTGCAAAACATTGTCCCCTGTGTTGCCTTTGAGAATATTGACCAGGCAGCTACAGCCTTTGCAGTCATCACTCCAGTTAAGAAGTCTTTCTCAGTATCAGTCATACAGTGTTAGGGCTTGTGTCTACGTGTTCCCCCAAAGCCTCGTGTGGTCATAGGTGGGGCTTTTTTAGAAGTTGGCTGAATCTAGAGTGTGTGACTCCAGAATTGATTCATGGTGCAGGGGGAGGGTCAAGGGTACTAGGATCAAGGGTGTGAGTGCTACCTGCCCTGAGTAGGCTGGGATAAGGTAAAAGGGACGGAAGGATGTTGTTAAGGTCGGTTGCTTGTTTTGCTGTCCTCTGCTTGCCGTGAACTGGTTTTTTCTCTGCAATCCTCCTCTACCAAGCGACCCTGCTTTGGTGCCAGCCAATTATGAACTGAAACCTCTACACTGTGAGCTAAATAAACATTTCCCTTTTTAACTTTTGGTGTCGGGTATTTTGTGTCAGCTATAAGGAAGTAACTAAGACATACAAAAATATTTCCCAAAGAAATGTTTATGTTGTAGCTTTTTTCATGCTTGGTTTTACACTTAAATTTATAAATCATGTCAGTTTTCTTTTTTATAATATTCTACTAGTTGTACAATATACAAGGTCTTCTAGGAACCAAACCCCAATTAAACAACATTGCACCTGTAGGAAATGAGCTTTCAATTTATGACAGCTCAACCTGTGACCATTATTCAGGAACTAATTAGGTAGCTAGTCAGACAGGTTGCCAACACCATGTGTCATGGATCTTTGATGTCACTTGAAAGCAGTCAAAGTGAATATTAAGTTCATGAATATACAGCTCAACTGTGTTTATATGAGGAAATTATATCCCTTTCTCCCAATACCTTCAGTGTAAATCATATTCCTTTCTCTCCAGTGCTCTGGTTGTACAATTCCTTCCAGATTTAATAGAGGCCTTGATGACAATGATGGGCCTTTCATGTTGATGATGGGCCTTTGATGTTGGCAGCTGGGCTCTCCATGTTTCCTGTACCCAGAGGAACTAGAAGAAAGGGTGGTCTGAAGCTCGGAGCCTTTCTTCCACCCTCACAGTCCTTGTGTATGCACTCAGTCTCTATGGAAACTGCTGAGGGCTCATGTCTCTAAGTGACCTGTTGAGATGAGCTTGGTGTGGCAGCAGTGCAGAGGGGCGTGATTTCCACCAAAAGGTTCTTTCCAGTTGACCTCTCTGAGTCAACATTATAAGTATAAATTCTCACTGAAGATATTGCTGTTAAAAAAGATTATTTTCCCACAATGCTTTAAAGCTTGGTATATTTTTGTACATTTTAACTCTGGAAATTAACGACTCTGATACGTAAACTTAAGTTAATAGGCTGTGTAGTCTCCCATTTCTCCATTGGAAATTTCTATCACAAATTTATAGTTACCCCATAACAGAAATATTAACACTAAAGGAAATACTGTTTGGCTTCAGTGCAGATGCTTAATGGATCACTCACTGAAGGTTCTCAGACAAGTACCTTAAATTGAACATAGGAAATTCTTTAAGAAGCAGCAGATACAAATTTAGGAGTGCACAAAAGTATATCCCTAAGTTCATGAAAATGGAAAAGACAAAATATGACTGAAGGAAATCCCATTTAACATAGGCCATATTACAGTCTAAGAAGCAATAATTAGCAAAGTTCAAACAGAGCTAACTGCAGACCCAAATAGCATTTAAACTTTATTTAAGGGAACCAGTGGTATTTAGAAACATTTACAGAATGTGTATGTTTACTAATCACTAGTGTGGCAGTTAGTTGTCAGTTTGATTGGTTTGGGAGCTCCCTAGATTAGTAAAGCACAGTACTGGGTGTGTCTGGGTGGGTCACGGAGGTGTGGCCTTGGGGTCTAATATGGTCCCTCACCCTTTCCTCTCTGGTGCTGTTTCCCTGCTATGCTTCCTGGCCACCATAAACTGAGCAGTTTTGCTCTACCATGCCCTTCTACCGTGATGTTCCTGCCTAGGAACTAGCTGACCATGGACTGAATTCTCTGAAACCCTGAGCCAAATGACCCGTTTCCTACTTTTAAATTGTGAGTGTCAGGTATTAGATCCCAACAACAGAAAAGCTGACCAGTATAAAAAGTGAATGTCAAGAAACCTGGTGCTTCTCCTGTGGTAGCATTTTTACTTGGCATTTTGTGTGTAGAAGGGGCAAAATATGTTCAGTGATGAATATCTCCCTGTGTCAAACTCTTGCCATCAAATTTGCCTAAAGAATTAACATTTTATTGTACTGTAATTATAATATCTTATTAACAGGGTAAAACTAAAATTGCCTTTAAAAGTTTAGGGGTAGGGAAAGTTCTGCATAGATTTTTTTTCCTGAATAAATAATGTACTACAGTGTTTGCTGTTACTATAATAAAATATGCCTGATGGTGGGTACCTTATAAAGCATAGGAGTTTATTTAACTCAGAGTTCTGGAGGCTCAAGAGCATCGTGCCAGCATTGATCAGCTTGGTTCTGGAGTAGACCTTAGCAGATGCATCCCAATGGCAGGAGCAGTCTCCCGGAAACAAGAAGCCAAGGAGCAGTTCAGGGGTCAGGCACGCTGCCTCCTCTCATTAGCAGCTCTGTAAAGTAGGGATTCCTTAGTACTACCATTCATGCTGCCATCATTTCTGAGACAAAATAGATATTCTTTTCATTTTTTTGTAGGTATATTTCTCCTGTTCACTCATCCAGAAAATACATCTCTGTGTGCCTGGCACTGCCCATGGTAATAACAGTGATTGGCACTGTGACTCCTTTCCACATTAAAGCTGTAGATTCTTTCTTTTCTTTCTGTCTGAATTCAGACCTTGATAAACGTATATGAGTCTTTATAACAGAAGAGGGAAGGAGGGTTAGGTCAAGAGTAAGACATTTTTTAAAGGGAAGGACCTATGCCTCAATGTCCTTTTTCATATTGCAGCCCTACACATTGTTGAAAATCATGATTATCTGCTTTATTACCACTCTAGGTCTTCACACTAGGTTGATACTGGGTAAAGAACAGGAAAAAAACTGGGCATGGCGGTGCACACCTGCAATGCCAGCACTGAGGCAGGAGAATCACTGCAGGTCTGAGGCCAGCCTTGGCTACATAGTGAGTTTAAGGTCAGCCTGAACTCCATAGCAAGACCCTTCCCAAAAAAGGAAAAAAGAAAGGCAGAGGAAGGGCTGCATGCAGAGACATTCTTGTGAGAGGAGAGACATGCTGAGAAATGTCCAGTGAGACCGAGTTTCACTGAGCCGAGGTGAACAAGGCCGGGAGGTGTCTGGAGATCTAGGTGGGACTTCCTCTGAGAATACAAACTTTCCTCTTGAATCTTATATTTTAAAAATTCAAATGATTTTACATTCTAGTCCATAATATATTTATTTAACTTTTTTGTGAAAGTGTCTTGGATAATTTTACACTGGGTAAAAATAAGTTCAAGGATATGAACCTTGTTAATTCCGTGCCTTGGGCAGCCCTTGGCCATCACCGTATCAGTCCTCACCCCATCCCCGTTTGAATGTCTGTTGATGATGAACAGTGACCTTATACCCATCATGATCAGACTTGAATGTGGGACGAGAACAGCTGGCTCTGCATTCATGTGCTCTGCATCCGTGAATTCAACCAGTTTTAGGTCAGAAATATTTGGGGAGAAAATTGCATCTGTACTGAACAGCTACAGACTTCCTTCTTGTCATTTTCTAAATAGTGGTCTAATAACTGTATGGCATTTATAGTTCATAGGAATTATAAGTAACCTAGAGATGATTTCAAGTATACACTTAGAGTGTGTATAAGTTATATGCAAGTCCTACACCATTTTATGTGAGGAACTTGAGCATCTATAGGCTTTGATAAGCACAGAGGGCTCTCGAACCAGTTTCCCAGTCGGAGGAATGAGTATAATTACACAATGGAGGATAGATTGAAGGGGGAGGAAACCATAGACAGGAGGCTACCAGAGTTTTCTGGGTAACAAATAAGGAAAGCCCAAACTTTAAGTGTTGGGGACATGGAGATTTTGCATAACTGTCGCATTGGGCAGTTCGTACTACTGGTGGTACACACAAATCTAATCACTGTTACTGGTCTTTTTACTAATAAAATAATAACAAGTTGCCAGATGGGATACTTACGCCTGTTCCAGCAGTGATGGTTCACACCGCCTGGTAGCAAGATACAAACTAAGGCCCTGCTGTGAACGTGTTAAGAAGTAGAACTGACATAATTGGTGACCTCACAGAATGTGAAGTATGATGGAAAATAAAGGAGCACTTTAAGATGAACCTTGTGCTCGGGCCTTGAGGTTGCCAGGACCACAGAAGAGCGGAACTGGTTTACTGAGCTGGGGGTGATGCCCCTTTCCTCCAAGTGTACCGCACTGAAGACCTGTCCTGTGGTGGGGTCGAGGCTGTGGTACAGTCGTCAGCATGGGAGTGGCCGAAGCATTAGGAGTGGATGTCTGTGCTGGAAAATAGAGTGCACAGCAGTGGGAGAAGAGAGCCAGCCAGTGCAGGACCTTCGGCAGCACCAGGATGTAAGAGGGGAGGGGAAAGAAGTTAAAAAGATACAGAATCTATGGAGTGAAGAAGGAAGCACTCTGGAAGGGAGACACAAAAGGCGGAGAGCAAGAATACTGAGACGATTCACCATACACAGTGCTACAGAAGTCAGTGCATAAATAGTGCCTGAAAGGCATCCGCGGCATTTTCTGAGTCTTAGCTAACAGTTACCTTGACCTTATGAGGGCAGGTTAGTAGGCATACAGTGGACTGAGTTGAATTGAAAAGTGACAGCAAGTGCACTTGACCACACTTTCAAGAAGCTAAGCAAAAAGGGAGTAGCAGGGAGTGAGTGTGCTGGCTAGGAAGAGATTCAGGATCTTCGAAGATAGTCATTAGAAGTGCAGTGGTTTGTTTTTAAGCTAGGGATAGAAGCGTATTTATATGCTGAGAAAAGCTGTATAGGGGAAGAGGTTAAAAATACAAGAGAGTACAAAGCCTGCTACCTTGCACATAGGAAGTATATCATAAAAGTAGTTCTTCAATGAACAACTGCTTACTGTTTGATTCCACAGTCTCAGTTTCACAGATGGAATTTGTATTTTATGGGCTACATGTTTTTGTGTACTTGATCATGGTTTTATTAATCTTTGGGGATATTCATGTTGTTTTTTTAGCCTCAAAATATTCTGTTGACGAGTGAATCTCCACTGGGTGACATTAAGATAGTTGATTTTGGCCTTTCAAGAATAATGAAGGACAGTGAAGAGCTTCGGGAAATTATGGGTACTCCTGAATATGTGGGTAAGTATTCCGAGGAACGGATGGTTTTCTATTGGAGATAGGCCTCACCTTCATTAAGGAGCTCATCTGTGGCCTGCTTCATAGGGCCTTTGCTATATGGAAGTTCTATTACCGGAGATTTATTCCTTTACATTAAATCTAAAACTTAAGGATGGAAAACTTTTAAGAGTAAGGAACCAAATTGGTGATCCTCTTCATATAAAACTAAGGAAGTTTGTTTTTAAAATTTTATGTGATTTTTGAAATGTTTTTTGTTTTGGTGCTGGGTATCTAACCCAGGACCTGTGCCTTCTAAGGAAGACATCTTACCTCCAAGCTACACATCCAGCCTCAGGGCTAAGAAAGTTTGAAGGTTTTGTCTCTCCGCATGTGGCTCAGTGTAGAGTGCTTGCCTAGTACATGCAAGGCCCTGTGTTCCATCCCTAGCACTGCAAAAGGCAAACAAAGGAACAGGAGACAAGTAAAAGCCTTTGAAGAAGTGCCAGTTGATAATAAAGTAATTACCACATCCTGGGGTTCCGAGAGTATGAAGCAGCACAGGCCTTTGGGATCATGCCAGGTTGAGGTCACTGACATAAAACGCAGCTTGAACATAGAAGAACAGCTGGAGTGATGCACCATGCGTCTAGGTTGGGTAAAAAAGAAGTAAGCTATTGCCTTTTTTATTGACCAGAAGAAAATTGGGATTTGAAGGATTAATAGTTCGATTGATTTAAAAATGAAGCATATGCCCATGGAATGATTTAGAAGTTATGACCAGAGAAACAGCACCTTGTGATTGTGGGGCTTTGGCCGTAGGTCTAGAAAGGCAGTTCTTCAGGCCAGAGGTCCAGAGTCATTGGCCTGGGGCTGGGGGAGTTGTGGACATCAGTGGGAAGTTGCCTAGGGTGCTGGCAGACCTGAGAGGGGAGGGATGGCTGTGACCTGAGGCTCATGAAGAGCGAGAGGCTAGGGAGAGCAGGACTCCTTTCAGAAGGGGAGGTGCAGGAACAGGAGCTGAGGATGTTGAGAATTTATTTCAACAAAGGGTATTTCAGAGGACTCAGGAAGGCAGGTTGAGTCAAAGAAAACAAAGCCATTCGTGGATGGCAGTACAGTAAATAAGTGTTAAAGTCCTGCAGTAGATCCTTAATTAACTAGGGAGAAAATTAATGCAAACCAAATTGAACACATTAAAAATAGTGTATGTACCATGGTCAACTTGGTTTTATTTCAGGGACGCAAGGATCATTCAGTATACTCACAAAAATCACTAAACATAAAATACCACATAAATAGAATCAGGGATAAAAAGCCCATGATCATCTTAGTTGAAGAAAGCCTTCATGGTGGTGCATGCCTATAGTACAGGGGATGCTGAGGCAGGAGGATCATTGCGAATTCAAGGCTAGTCTGGACTATATAGTGAGTTCAAGGCCAGCCCAAACTGCATATGGAAACCTTGTATCAAAAAGAGGGAAAAAAAAAAAAAGGAAGCAGAAAGTGAAGGTAGGAGCCAGGGAGAACGATAAATGCTATTTAATGTACTAATTCATTAAATATCAAAACACAGTGAATAAAATTTTCAAAATTTTTGTATAGTACTTTTCCCTTGAGTTGGAGGTTTCTTGGCGTACTGAAAGCTGGAGAGAGATCAGACGAGAAGTGTTACTTTTTGGAAGGAGAGTCTCTTAAAGACTGCTGCCGCTAGACTTTCTGGGGTCTTTTCCCTTGGTCTTTTTTTCACGAAAATTTGGGTGAGAACGGTGCTTAGACTGAAGTGCCACCCCTTTGTGTCCGCAGTGAGACCCGCTGCATAACTCACTCTCCACCTGTAAAGGTTTTTTTAAGGGGGATTTTCAGTTTGACTGTGGAGCAAAGTTCCAAACACTGAGCACATTTTTTTTAACTTCGCTGTTTGCTGTTCAAGTAGTGGAAAGCTCAAGCTTGGAGCCATTCAGCAATCACGGTATCACTCACTGTATTATCAGAGCAGATTATTTTTCTCAACTCTATAGATGAACTTTATTGCCTTTGTGGTTCCAGTCTTCTGAGAATATCTAGGGTTTTTTTCTTTTTATAAATTTTGTTTTATTTTTTTAGTACATATTTGCCATATATAATGATCACATTCATCATACGAAATTTATACCTGTACATAGTATGTCTGAATTCATTTTTTCAGTCTTTTTCCCTCCCCTCCCCTCAGCCTTTCTTCCCTTCCTTATTTATGAAAGCTGTGGTTTTTATAGCCCTGTTGACTGACATTTTGTTAATGAATGTGCATTGTAAAATCTCACTTTGGAGCCCGGCGTGGCGGTGCACACCTGTAATCCTAGCACTCGGAGATCAGCGTGGAAATGATAGTGAGTTCAAGGCTAGCTTGCACTACAGAGTAAGACCCTCTCTGGGAGGGTGGATGTGAGTAATAGACCAGAGGGTGAGAGCAGCCACCGAAAGCCCAGATGAGAGGGGAAAGTGTCTTGCACTAGGCTTGGGCTGTGGCGATGAAGAGACAGGGATGCACTTCTGATTTGAAAGCCGCTCTCCGATGGATGTGGTTGACGGGACAGAAAATGGGAGAACAGAAAGGTGCCAAATTGTCTCTTTATATTACAGAGTTTTTTCATCCAAATATTTGTTTAGATGTTAAGGGTCAACCATGAGGGTGGAAGTATGAAAAATAACAAGTTAATTTCAAACATCTAGTAAGGATTTTCTATTCATCCAGCGCTGGGGAGGCTGAAGCAGGAGGATTGCCATGAGTTCTAGGCCAGCCTGGGGTTCATAGTGAGTGTAAAGGCAGCCTGAACTGTGACCTTGTCTCAAAAAAAACAGGGGAGAAAAGATTTTTTTATTCATACTAATTCATGATATTATTTCATTTTAGGTCAAACCTTGATAATAGTTATGTGTAGTTTTTAATGCATACTTCATCACTTATCTCTAAGAGCATATTGGGAAATTTTTTTCTATGAAACTAAGTATTTTCTTGTTTCTCCAACTAGCTCCTGAAATTCTTAGTTATGATCCTATCAGCATGGCAACAGATATGTGGTAAGTGTTATTTCTGAAAAGTCAGTGAAAGTAGTTCCCAGAGATGAATTTGGTACTAACTGCCCTCACACTTTCCTTCTGACCCAGGAGCATTGGAGTGCTCACGTACGTCATGCTAACAGGAGTATCGCCTTTCTTAGGCGATAATAAACAAGAAACGTTCTTGAACATCTCACAGATGAATTTAAGCTATTCTGAGGAAGAATTTGATGGTGTATCTGAGTCAGCAGTAGACTTCATCAAGAGCCTTTTACTTAAGAAACCTGAGTAAGTATTAATATTTCTCTTCACCTGTGGGGCTGGGGACCCTGCCCCTGAGCTACACTCCCAGCTAGGTTTTGAGTGATCTGCTCTGAGCAAAAGTAGTTCCACAACTGAAACCACAAAGTGAAGACACAAACGTGTGGATATGAAACTAGGTGAACCTCTTGGCTTATTAGGTCTATTGAAAGAAACTGCCCAAAATGAACATATTCCTAGAAAATGTGACCTGCGCCTCGGTCTAACAGGATTGAAATTAGTCAGCTTGTGTAACTGCAGATGTGTCATGCAGGGAAAGGCACTTGCTATTCTGGATTTGTCAGTGAAATGACAGCTACTCCTTAACAGATATTTTTTACCTGTTCTTGGGGTGCTCGAAAGAACTTTTGAGAGTTACCTTACTTACTTTTTCAACATTCTAGGGAATGCACTCAAGCTCTAGAACTGCTGATTCTACTCAGGAAGCACAAAAAGATATTTGCCAACTCCTTATACTTTCCAAAATTTGACACAATAAGTACAGGACCGTATGCTGTGACTTTTCAGTTGAAGTTTAATGCTGTCACATGTGTGAATGTCTTTATACAGAGATCGAGCCACCGCTGAGGAATGTCTCAGACACCCCTGGCTGACACCAAGCAGTATTCCTAGTCCTTACAAGCTGAAAGGAACAGTAGAAGCAGCAAACATCCTCCAAGAAGGTGATTCTGTGGCTGCAATTAATGAAGATGCCGAGAAGCCAGAATCCGAGGGATCCCTTGTGACGGAGGAGTTAATTGTAGTTACTTCATACACTCTAGGACAATGCAGACAGTCTGAAAAAGAGAAAATGGAGCAAAAAGCCATTTCTAAACGATTTAAATTTGAAGAACCATTGCTGCAAGAAATTCCAGGAGAATTTATCTACTGAGCTATATCTCCCTTTAGAACTTTAAGATTTCTCCATTGAAATGTTAATATTATTTATGGACCTCTGGCCAAATGTATGTATACGGGAAGTGGGTAGCCAGGAAGAACCGATAGAAAAAAAATAATTTTGTCAAACTTTTGGAGTTAAGTGAATCAAAACAGGTTTATAAAATTGCCAGGCAAGAATTTAACAGGTAAAGCTATCTGTTTCAGTGTTCTTTTTAAGGAGAGAGATGTTTGTACCTTTTAACACCCTGTTTCTCTAGAATGAGAGCTTGTGTACAAAGATACTTGTATTTACTTTAAAAAGTGAAGTAAAAGTGCCAAAATTACACTTCCAGTAAATCTCTTTTGCATTATTCGTGTGCACTTATACCTGCATATATGTATTTACTGAAATGGATACACTTTTTCATTTTGGATTTGTTTGGGAGGACAAGATTTTAATTTCAGTAGATACCTTTAAATGTTGGAGACTTACAAAATATACCTACTTTACATTGAGTGGATTTGGTTTCTTTGTATTGTGTCTGTTTTTGCCTAATGCTTATAATTTATCAGTGGCTAATTTTTTTTCCCCTCAGCATCACTCAGAAGAGAAGTGGTGATTTTCCATCTCTGAAATTGTTCTGGTTCTTGTTCTGTCATCTGATGATACTAACGCATGTCTTTTCCCTCCTCACACCATCCTTTTCTGCCTTCTTTCCCAGGCTACTCCCTGCCACCCCCCAACTTGTCACTCAGTTTTGTTCACTTGTAGGTGTCATTGTGATCTCATAAACACTATGGTTGCTTTGGGCAGTGAAAAGAAGCTATTGTTTTTGTCCCACAGTTAGTGAAACCTAAAGCAGAGGAGGAAGAGATGTAAAGGATAGTCATGATGGCTGCCAAGCCTATAGTTCCGTTATTTCTTATAACCCTTAAGTTATACTAGGACCAGTTACAAAGTATTGTAAACCTTTATTTTGTCCACCAAAAAACTGACTTTGGATATTTTATTGTTAGACAGCTTATTGCAGAGCGAGTATAGCTCACAACTACAGTATATGCAAGGCCCTGGGTTTAGTCCCAAACACATAAATATATATACACACACACATACACACACACACACACAAATTTGGTTAGGATCAGATTGAACATTTCACTGGCATTGAGACCCCAGAGTGAACAGTAAATTCCTATTTAAATAGGACACGTGAAAGTGTATCCTGCATAACTTAAATCCTTCTCACACAATGAGGTCTGAGGTTCCTCAGAGTGCTGAATTTGCATGAGTGCAGCTTGTATGTTACCTGTGCACTGTGTGCATATACCTGGGCCCTTGCCTGTCCTCTGAACTAGGGGTCACACAAGGCTCCTAGCATTAAGCAAGTACACTATTCCAGAAGGACTTACTTCTTACTTCAGAGATACCAATCTCTTGATGTGAAAATCATGACAGTGACGGTGCCTGCCCAGTTCTAAGCTACGTGCAAGGTGGTGTGGTCAGCATTTACACAGATGTGCCAGTGACTTGTTCTTGTCCATCTGCCATTGCATGGGGTGGGTGAGGCAGTTCGGTCGCACTGTTTTCCCACTAAATTGACTTCACTTGTATAGTTTTATCAGAAACAGCATTTGTAAACAGGCTGTGAAAGGGAAAAACGAAATTCTGTCCCAGTAGCAGAGTTTTCAGTGAAAACCCATAGCCACGGGTTGTCTCAGGTAAGTCCTAAATGAAGTAAAACGATTTGAGGCAAATTTGTATAAACAGCTCTTTGATAAAAATAGGGGGTAAATGCACTAAACTAAAATCAAAATGGATCAAAGATTAAATGTTAAAACAAACACTAAGTCTGCTGGAAGACAGAATCAGTAGGACTCTTGAAGACATTGGTGTCAGCAAAAAATTTTATGAACAAAACCCTGTTCTCACAGGAGCTATCACAAAATTACCAACTGGAATCTCATCTTACTAAAAAGTTTTTGCACAGTAAAAGAAACCAATGTGAAGAGACAACCCCTAGTGTGTAAAAAATTTTGCCAGCTCTTTTTCAGACAAAAGACTAATACTTAAGACTATATAAAGAATCCAGAAAATTCAGACCCTCCTCCAAATTTGAAGACCCAATCCAAAAATGGGCATCTGAAATGGACAGACACTTCTCAGGAGAAGTAGAAATGGCAAATAAATATATGAAGAAATGTTCAACATCCCTGGTCATTGGAGAGATGTAAACAAATGCTGAGATGCCATCTCACTCCAGAAAGTGGGAATTACCAAGAAATCAACCAATAACAAATGCCGGTGAGGCTGTGGGAGAAAAGGAACCTCTACTCCACTGGTGGGAGTATAGATTGATGCAACAACCACTGTGGAAATCAGTGTGGCGAGTCCTCAAAAATTTGATGTTCCGTTTGACCCAGCTATTCCCCTTCTTGGTATCTCTCGAAAGACTTAAAAGCATCATACCAGTGATATATGCATACGACATTTATAGCGGCACAGTTTATGTACTTTTTTTTCTTTAGACAGGGTCTCAATGTGTAGTTCAGCTTGCCGTTAGACTTACTGTGTAGCCCAAGTTGGCCTTGAACTTGCAGCAATTCTCCTGCCTTAGCCTCCTGAGTGCTGGTATTACAGATGTGCACCACCATGCTTGACTATAGCGGCACATTTTGTAATAGCAAAATCTTGGAAACAGCCCCAATGTCCATCAGCTGAGAATCGGATAAAGCAGATTTTTTTTTTTTTAATACAATGGAGTACTGTTCTACTAAAAGAAGGATAAGCTTGAGCTGTTTCTAGCTAAATGGATGGACCTTGAAACTATACTCTTAAGTGAAATAAATCAGACACACACTTTGTAATACTCTATTTCACTGGTGTGAGAAACCAAAAATATAAGGACCAAAAATAGATCTTGGGAAGTGGGAAGAAAATGTTCAAATGGGAAGGGGAACAAGGGAGGGGGGAAGGAAAAAAGGGGCAAGAAAAAAAAAGGAAACAAAGCTTTGTAAATAAGGGAAGAGGGGTTGAAGGGAGGGAAGGAGAACGGGAAAAAAGAATTAAGATATCATGTACCGATACAAATTCCCTATGATGAATGTTATGTATATCTAAAATGTACCAATAAAAAATGCAAAAAATAAAAAATAAATACATGCTCAGCTTGTTTCTCCTAAGATGAATAAAAGCTGAGGAAATGATTCTCAAGTGCTGCATGCAACTAAGCTGTTTGGAAAGCACAAAGATAAGAACCATTAGCTTTATCTTTCCCACATTCCCTTTGGACATGTATGCGTGCACATACATTTTTAAGCTTTCAGAATGTTTGGAATAAAAGCAATTATTTTGTAAATCTTTAGTAAGGCAGACAGTTGGTGCCTGAAATAGAAATAACAATAAAGTAAACAAAATATCCCAAAGCAACTGAGAATTCCCACAAGCTACTTCAACAGGGATTCAGGGAAGCCAAGCAAACCAAAAGGGCTGATCTTTCTCAGCAGTCTGACATCGGTAAACTTCAAAGCCCCTGTGGTGCCAGTGACCCTCAGCGCTATATTCCAAGCCCTTCACCCTTTTAAATATCTTGGCTTTTTGCTTTCCTTTGCTTTGTTGAGGCATAGTCTCACTGAATTGCTCAGGCTGGCCTTAAACTTTCTATCCTCCTGCCTCAGCCTCCTGAGGAGCTGGGATTACAGGTGTATACTGTGGCGCCAGGCTACACCTTCACCTTTTTCATGGAGCTGAAAGCTATAGGCAGGGGATGAGGAGTGGAGAAGAAAGAACCAGTGGAAATCAACATTGTATTACTGATAGGGGTTTATTTTATCTTGTGCTTTGCTTTTGTATAAGGAGCACTTCTGAAAAAATATAAACCTTTATTGTAAGTTTCCTTGTGGTTGAATTAAATGAACCACAGTGGCATTTGGGGTGGTCACGTCAGCACATGGGAACCACCTCGCTTCAGCAGTCACCCCACTGGCTGCTGGAGAAGCGGCACGCTTGAAGGTCGGCAGGAGGAGTGCAGAGCCTTCCGTTCACTTCCCCTCCTTGCTGTGCGTGAACACAGGGATCCGCTGCCCATCGCTGAGCTCCAGGACGACCTCCTGAAGGTTCCACCTGTGGAAAAGCAAGAATGGAGGCTTCTCATCAGTGAGACACTGGGCAAAAGACAGGTCCAAAGGGAAAAGATTAAGAAGCAGCTGGTAGGAGCACTGCTTCAAGTTGTTCCTAAATGTTACTAGGCCCAGTGCTGTGATAATAGCATGTTTAGTGTTACTTAATCAAGGCAGGCCTGGCAATGCTTGGCTGACAGAAAAGGCGCTGCATCGGGAAGGAGGGAGGGCGGCTTATTTCCCATTTCCTAACTCACAGTGACTTCAGCCCCTGGCCTGCTATCCCACCAGCTCCTCCACTAATCCCAGGCTCAGGGGTCGATGAGCCCAGGGTGAGCTGGGTGGGGGTTGCTGCTTTTGTCCTTGGGAATTCAAACACATCCTTGTGAAACGGCAAACATCCCAGAGACTTCCCATCCCGGAGAGAGGCTGGCTGTGGGGGTAGTGAGTGGATGTAGCTATTGGCAACCAGACAAGAAAAGCCAATTAAGGGGGTGGAGGGCTCTGCAGAGAATCCAGTGAATAACCGGAGCCAGACTCAATGCCTTTATTCATCTATAATGACGGAGGCAGCCGAGGGAGAAACTGAACACAGCATCAAATCATTGTAGACCTAGACCACTATAACTGTCAAGTGCTTCGACTTCAGCAGGACGAGGAGAGGACAATTCACGAGATTGTGTTGGATAAATTGTCTGGACTGAGCTAAAAGCTGAAGCCTTGGCTTGCTGCCCAGCCATACAGCCTTCTGCTTCAGGCTTTAAATGCTGATTCTTCTTATTACTGCAGTCATTTAAGACAGATATAGATGGAAACCGGCAGCGTTTCTCTTGGAAGGCCTTCCTCCTGCCCGCCATTCCTCCACACTTCCCTCATACCTCTGAAAGGGGGCGCTTCTGGTAGACTGGGTGAGGAGATGGCCCTTTGCCTTGGGCCCGGAGACAGGAATCTTCAGCTGCGGGGCGTAAAAACACAAAGGAGAGATGTCACCGGATATGCTATTGTCTCAAAAGATGTCAAATGTACCTTCTAGAGCCACACCCATAGTATCCAGGGATGAGCCAGAGTGTCTGGAGAATCCACCTGACTTTCCACACAGTCTTGGGAGACCTGGTGAGATCAGTGGCTGTCCTTCCTGTCTACACAGAGACCTTGGCGGCCAAACTTAGCACTTCCAGCAGCACGAGGGTCCACCTCGGAGAGCAGGAAACCACCTGCGCGTGCCGCACTGCAGGCGAGTGTCAAACACGCCGAGGAACCCAGCACGACAGGGTATTACACCACTCCCATTAAGGTCTAGATCGAGTGACACGATGCTGGCAAAAACATGGGCAGTGATCAGCTGGGTGGAGCTGGAGATGGGAGAGAAGACCTGAAGGAGGCCTGGTGGCACGGGACAGGCTGTGTCCATGGGCATTTGTTACAACTCACAGAGCAGGACACGTGGATGTGTGTCCTTCACAGAACATCATTTTACCTCGAAAAATGTGTATTAAACTCTGGTTCATGATTTACGTGTATATGTGCTAAAAGTGCAGTGCACAGATGTTTGAAGGCTAGTGTGTAATACATCAAAGTAAGAGATTCATGAACAAGGATACAGCCCGATGAAGAGGCATGGTGCTGTATGCGTGCTCACAGTGTAAACTGTCTTTTCTGTTTGAAATTTTCCATAATAAAACAGGAAAAGAACAAAGATCAAAAGTGCACCATGGAAAGGGAACTAGGCGGGTGCCGTGGTATGCGCCTGTAGTCCTAGCACTCTGGGAGCCTGAGGCAGGAGGACTGCAAGTTCCAAGCCAACCTGGGTAAATTAGAAACTTAACAAGACATTCTCTCAAAATAAAAAAAAGCATTTAAAAGGTCTGCAGATGTAGCTGAGTGTTAGTTCTATCACTAGGACTTTTTTGATTATTTGTTTGTTTTTTGAGACAGGGTCTCACTGTGTAGCTCAGGCTGGCCTCAAACTCACTATGTAGCCCAAGCTGGCCTTGAACTCGCAGTGATTCCCCTGTCTCAGCCTCAGCTGGGATTACAGGCGTGCAACCATACCTAGCAGTGGTACCATCGAAAAAACAAAACAGGTGGATGAGTATCACCAGCAAATTGGAACATATTTTGTTCTGGACCATAAATAATAGGCATTAAGGGGGCTGGGGATTTAGCTCAGCGTCAAAGCGCCTGCCTGGCAAGCGCAAGGTCGTGAGTTCGGTTCCCGGTACCGGAGAAAAACCAAAAAAAAAACAAAAAAAAAAAAAAAAGTAATAGGCATTAAGGAAAAAGACAAAACAAAACAAAACAAAAAAGTAAGACCTCCATATCCACAGGGCCTACATCTACAAATTCAACTAAAAAAGGATCAAAAATATTTTTAAAAATGAACCTGTACACAGCTTGTTTTTCTTGTCATTAACCCTGCATGACACCAAGTAACAGTTATCAATACCACTTACATTGATGTTAGGCATCTGTAGCCTACAGATGATTGGAGATTTTCATAGTGGGCTGTCATTCGTATGTCTCACTGCTGGGGTGGCTTGAACCACTGGTGGTCATGCATGATTGTCCCTTCTGGCAGCTTTTTATTAATTTTATTAGTAAAAAGACCAATGAAAGTGATGAGATCCATTTGTACCAACAGGGGCATAAGCTGCCCAATGGGACAGTCCAGTGTTCAAACTGGCTGCAAGGTGTTAAAGTCAATGGCAAGATGTATGTGGCTTACTGTATATGTAAATACAACCCAGCCTTCAGCAAAACAAGTTTGTGAAGGTTCCCTTCTGTATGGATTTAATTTTGGAGATTTGGAGATGGGGTGATACTGGAGATGGAACCTAGGACCTTTTTTTTTACTGTCTTTTTTTTGTTTTTTTGAGACAAGATCTTGCTATATATTCCAAGCTGCCCTTTAACAATACAGTATGTAGCCCAGGATGGCCCCAAACTGCAGGCAACCCTCCTGTCTCAGCCTCCTGACTGTTGGGATTATAAGCATGAGCAACCATGTCAGGCTTTTTTGGGGGGAGAGAAGGGGAAAGGGGGGAAAAGGGAGGAGAGAGGGAGATTGGGGAGGGGAAGAGTAGCAGAGGGAGACTGTCAGGAAGGGCAGTTGGGGGGAAAGGGAGGAGGTGGAGGTAAGGAAGAAAGGAAGGAAGTCAATCAAAACATCTCATTCTTGTCCTTAAAGTGATTCCCAGGCTCCTGCCACCATAGTGCAAGCACCCAGCCTAAGTGCTCTACCTGCCTGGCCCTGCCTGGCCTACTGCTTCCCCTGCAGGACCTCCAGGTAGGGAACCAGCCTTTGTAGCAGGTGTGAGGCTCTAAACGCTCAGGTGAGGCCCACATCTCTGCCACAAGGCTTGCTGGCCCCTGCTCTGGAATTTCAAACCCTCAGCTCGCTCACAGTCCCCAGGCCTCCTGCATCTCCACACCCCACACCTCGAGAGTTGACTAAACAGAACTATGTGCTGTATTTTACATTTAAGTATTTTTCATTTAACATTCAAAGCCAAACTATACAAAAAGATAAGACTTAGCATTGCAGAATGGGCTGGCATTATGAAGGCAATGTAAATAAACAAATTTTGAAAGGAAAGGTGAAAGCTGGTTGCATCTGGATAGGCATGGACTGGACAGAGGTATATTTCAAATCAGAGCTGAAGTGGTGGCCGAGGCCACTGTTCACTCCTCTACCTTCAATCCAACAAGATGGTGACATCCACCGCATTCCCTGCCTCATCTGTCCCCGACAAAGGAAGAAAAATATGTGAAATGACTCCCTAAGAACACAAACAGAGTTTTCTATGTATTAAAAGCCCATTGTGAAAGGAGCTACCCTGAGTGACAAGAAAGAGTGCGCACCCGGGCTTCGACGATGTCCACGAGGTGGTCCCTGCTGAGCACCGGCAGGTGGTGCACCTGGAGGGGCGCGCCCAGTGCTTCCAGCGCCTCGGGGTGGTTGTGCAGCTGCTCCAGCGCCATCTGGTAGTACTCGGTCCTGGTGAACCCTTCTGAGAGGACACACGGGGTTAGCGTGTGCTCCTTGTTTACTGAGCAGTGAAAGAATACAACAGAAGTGCTGGAGGACACAGAAATGGCAACTAGGGGAGGAGGAGGAATCAGGACTGTGTACTCACACTGCCTGTCTTCCACAGTGGCTGTCCCGACTTTTCTAAGCCTCCGTTGCTTCATTTTTTGTCACCTGTCTCCCTGCCTCATTTCCCTTCCACTAAGTGGTTTCATTAGCTCTTCTCTGAGGCTCCTGTCATTTCTGCAATCCTGTGATTCCATGAGCAGCTCTGAGTCACAGCTGGCCCAAGACTAGGAGGAGGGGCAGAATCTGTGACACTGACTCGAAACACGGCTGCTTCCACTCTGATGAGGAACAGAGTAAGCCAGGTGTGGTGCCCCACTCCTGTAATCCAAGCATTCTGGAGGCTGAGGCAAGAGAATCACAAATTCCAGCCCAGCCCAGGCAATTTATCTATTTAGCAAGATCCCCATCTCAAAAAAAAAAAAAAAAAAAAAATATGCTGAGCGTGGTGGTGTACATCTGTAATCCCAGCACTCAAGAGACTGAGGCAGGAGGATCAGCCAGCCTGGGCCACCTAGTGAGTTCAAGGCAACCAAC